ACGACCACTGTCGCCTTCATCAGTACTCTTTGTGTTAATTAGAATAAAGTTCAACATTGAACTAGAATTTCTCTTATTATTGATATATCAATGATAAAGAAGAGAAATTTTATACATTTCATCCATAAAAAAGTCACACCTTGGAATGGAAATTAATTTTTAAATTAAAAATGTTGCATTTTAGGTTTCAAACTTTGTGTTCTCAGAGGCAAACAAGGAGAAGTCGTAGACATCATCCCTCCATGAAATAGCTTGTTATTTTGTAATCTTTTGGTGTATTTCAATAGAGATATTATGAGTCAAACTTTGTTTTTATCAGCAGAATGATTTGTGTCCCCAGTAGTATATTCGAAAACTCTCTAACTGTTATAGAGTTTGCGAATATACTACTGGGAATGGTACCCAGGCTACATTTGCCTGTACATGTAGGTCAATGAGCAGACAGGCAAATGACCTGCAGACCAGACAAACAAGATTTATTTTCCTGTAAAAATAGATAGGGCTGCCTGGGTCTGACCTGCCAGCTGGAGGTATAAACAAAAACACTCTGTCCCAACTTTTGGGTCAAACAGACCATCCTATTATGAAGTAGGGGTGAAAAAGTGAAAATCCTTTTAAATTAAGCAATAAAAATATGCGACAACCTGCTAATGCACTCCAAAACACAAAGAGACTCAACAACTACCCACATACCAAAAATCATACCAAACCATCCCCCAGATTTTCCAAACATTCAACACAAAAAGTCCAACATTAAACATTTTGTAAATATCAAACGCAAACAGCTAGGGGACCCAAATTTAAACCACTAAACCATGGTAATAACAACTACATGCTACCTTAATATCGCACAAACAGTCCATAACGCGAAAACAACAGAATAAAAAAATTAAACTGCAGTACCAAGGTCAATCACCAGGGACTCAAAGTCAACCTACACAATCTCCAAGGCCCCATCCATCAATCTGCCAAATATCGTACAGTTCTTTCTCACCAATCTTCAGATATCAGACCAAACATGAAACGGAGTAAAAACAGTACCCCCATTTTCATGGAGGGTAATAACCTACACATTACCATGTAGCCATGTAACTACTTATCCACCACCACATGCGGACAAATCATGTTACCGGTCTCCCGTTGTCCAGATCCTTCCGAATGTAAAATCTTATTTTACGGACCTATAAAACCATCTGTCCAAGCACGGTACATCAGGTTGTAATACTTTGATGATCGGTATCGCACTCATAAAGGTTTCCATCGGGCCTAAAAGCAAGCCCTCACGTGATAAGTTTGGCCTCTGTCAGAAAGTGTCTAACCTTGGGGTTGACTGGTGTGAGATGGGGCACATATAATGGCGACCTTATAGGTCTTATCAGTTGGTAAGATCAGCCTAATCCCTCACCACACACACGGACCATTTGCGTCAACCTGCCAAGGTATAAATCACAACATACTTAATACCACACGGGGCACGTTCTGTCATTATTTCTCCTCCTATGACTG